AAATATTCGTGCTGGAGCTTCCGGCGCGAATGCCAAGCAGTACAGCATACCGTTTCCACATTTCTGGCGGAGTGAATTGGGTGAAACAGGGCCTGATACTTTAATTCAATTTTTGTAACATGGAAAATCTTATGTAGCGAAGGAATAATATTTAAAAAATAAATATATATATATATATATATATATATATATATATATATATATATATATATATCCCATAAATTTTTTATGTCATGGGGTGTTTTGTAGGCCCCTTTGAATATGCGGTATTGTGGTATATGCAAGATTTAGAGGTGAATGAGTAATTGTAATGAATGAATAAGTCTTGAATCTAACGAAGACCAGCACCTCCCTGCTTCCCCCCCTCGGTCTTGTATCACAATTTCTGTAATAATTAGAAATAAATACTAACAACCTAGCAACGTTCTGTGTTGATTAAAAAGCTAATCACTTTTTTCTTAGCTTACAACAATTTATTTAACATAAACTATGGAAAGATATCTGAAACCCTGTCGTTTCGAGGTGGACCCTAATGAGAATGCACGTCTGCTGGCCTCCTTTGGTAATGGAATATTCTCTCGTGTGGGGTTTCATTAGTAGCTGTACACAGTATGCCCCAGATACAATGAAGAGCATGGAGGAGGACCCTGCAGGCGAATAGCACCATTGGTTCAAGACATTCAGGAACTTTATAGACGCCTTTATTAATGGGGTATATTCTAGCTACATTAGCCAATGTCTACTGGAGTACAAAACCTTAAACTTGGAGATAGCATTTGAACAGGCACGTTCCTTAGGAGTAGCCAAAAAGGAATCTGACACTTATACAAAGTTAGACTACACCATTAATGCAGCTGCCTTCGACACTATTACTAACAGTACCTCTTCTAATCAAACAATCACGGCCGCTTTAATGGCTAAGTGTTTCTTCTGTGGGTTCGGAAAACACTCCCGTACACGGTGCCCAGCAAAGGAGGCTATATGCAAGTCCAGCGGTAAGGTCTGACACTATGCGAAAGTCTGTCGATCTAAACCCACGTCTTCTGAGTCTACTTCAGCAATACATTGCAAACCGTGCCACTTAATTTATCGAAAACTCTTCTACCGGCTAGAATAACTGCAATGCACTACTTGGTACTGGCAGTCCACATTGTTATGTAAGTCATCCACTACTGAAAATGTATAAGTGTCCTCTAACGAAGTTTTTTCTGTGGCAGCTACGAATTTACAGTCTAAAGTAGCAGAACGCTGCATAGATGTTATCATTGACGATTACACATATAAGAAATTACAGGTAATTATTCTGGATAACTTATGGCCTGATATTATAATAATACGCTCCGTCAGGATCTTGGCGAAAATATTTAAGTCTGTATTTAGTAGAGTAATGGGCCTGTAATCGTCTAAATCCCACCCAACACCCTTGCCCATTTTCAACAATCTGATCACGCCTCCGGAAATCAGGTCGGTGATGGACCCCTACCGGAACCAGTTGTTGAAAACCACTGTCAAAATTGCAACAAAGATGTGCGACAGAAATCGGGCATGATATTCTGAGCCTACATTCTAAAGTGAAGATTCCTTTTAGTCGAACCAACCACCCCTCCTTGGGCGTAGTTTGACTACAATCAAGGCTCCCTAACCCACGCTTTTCAATTAATCTCTCTCCCAATTCTAAGCCTATACCTATCAAATCAAGGAGATATTCTGAAACCGATACTAAATTCATTAACTCTGTAAAGTAAAGTAAAACGGATGTTAGCCGAAGGGATAGTGGAACCTAGTTTATCTCTGTGGAGAGCACCACAAGTGTTGGTTGTAGGTGGTCAAAACCACAAGAAACGCTTAGTGGTCGACTATTGTAAAACCATTAATAGATTTACAATCCTAGATACTTATTCTCTACCTAACATAAATGATTTAACAGAAAAGATATTCAAATACAAGCGTTTAGTTCGGTTGATTTGCGCAGAGCCAACTACCAAATCCGTATAACAGTAACAAGATAAACCTTTTGCAGCTTTAGAAGCCAGTAGTGGACTTTATCTGCCGGGTCCCTTTCGAGGTTATAAATACGGTCGTGGTTTTTCAAAGTGTTATTGATTAAATAATTAGGGATAACGATATTAAAGTCACTGATACTTACACTGACAATATAACTATCGGTGGCCAAACCCAATCTGAGAACGACAAAAAGTTAAGTAAATTTATGGAAGTTGCCAAACACTTTACTTTAAGCTTTATATTCTGTCAAAATTCTATTAATCTTCTGGGTTGCACAATTTCAGATGGTACGATAAAACCTGATCCTAAATTTACTTGTTTCAACTAACGAAGCTTCCTTACGCTAAGAAATCGGTTTGTTCTACCATTACTCGCTCAACGCTCAGCCAAAATGGCAGACCCGTAACCTTTTTTTCTCGGACATTAACAGTCACCGAACGTAAACATTCATCTATCGAAAAAGAATCGTACACTATCGTAGAGTCTTTGCGTAATGTTATTTGCTGGGAAAGCATTTTCAATTAATCATATATAAAGTACAGTGTATGTGTGTGTGTCCAAGCAAATCCTCCGCTCCCACTGCTCCGATTTCAATGATTCATAGCCCATTCAAAAGCCCTAGAAAAGTTAAGCGCAGGGAACGATTTTAGTTGAGCTCAGATTCAGGGTTGCCAGATGATACGGGGTTAACAAAAATATATACATATATTATACTAGCCATTAACATTCTTTCGTGGTTAAAGGGGAGTAACACTTATTTTCTTTTTGTATCCAAAAGTGCAGTGACGTTTTATTATAAACTAACTTAAACGCCGCCCTATCGAGCGGCATTTAACCTAGTTCTTCTTGTTCTTGTAACGGCATTCACCCGAGGTGGGTTGAGCCGGATACAATGATTGGAGTTTCATGGGAATTTGGAATTCACAAGCGGTCCCCAACTCTCATGTGCTATACATGCGGGTTGGGGACTGCTTGTGAATTCCAAATTTTGATTATAGTGGTGAAGGTTTCGTGCATGACCATCCACACTTTTTGAAGGGCCGATTACAGAGACCTGGTGCACTACGTGCCACAAGGTCCCCAAACGACCCTCCGCAGGTTTTGAATTCAGAGATTTTCCTTCTCCTAGACCAGTAGCCATCCAAGGCTATAGAACCCAGTCTGTCCTGTTATTTACCCATAGCTGGAGGGAGAAGAAGATACCAAGGGTATTAGCACGTAAGTGAATGTAATGGATTCGACTGGAATTCGAACTCGGCTCTCCGATTCCTCACTACAAGCCGATATCCATTACTCCACCGTGCCTCCCATTTAACCTAGCTTGATGGATGAATCTTGTTTAGGCCATCATCCCAATAGCTAGGGAGGAGCAGATACGATAGGCTTTAATAAACTACACAATAATAAAAAAGTACTTAAAATTGATCGCTGCATTTAAGTATTGAATGAATGTTTAAGCTTACCTTTTAAAGATAATTCTTCTTCTTAAGTTAAAGATCCTTATTTTCCGTACAAACAATTATTTTTATTTCATGGGTGACAGAACAAGGGACAATTTATAAGATAAAATTAATATAGTGTAAAGACGGGAAAACAGAAATTAGAATTAGTTATACATTCAACATTTGAAGAGATAGAGAAACATAAGTACATTAAGTAAAACCTATATTATGGACTATAATATATTTCTCCATATTTATTATGGGATGTATTTTTCCACTCTCTTTGGTCGGATCTCAGCGATTTTCTGATTGGGTACTTAATAAGAAGGATGTTATGGTGAACGAGAAAAGTTGAGAAATGGCGACCAGTGTACAGCGACTGAGGTGTGTACACTATTGCATGAGCGAAGCCAATGCACTTTGTGGAATGAAGTGATGTAACTGGTTGTTCGCTCCGCTGCGCTCATGCATTTGCAGGAAAAAACGCGGCTGCACTGGCGATCTTGCGAGCGACCGTTTAGTAATAAATGAAAAATGTATCAGTTATGTTCGACGGAAGAAGAGCAGGAAAAATTAAAAAAATGAAAAATTGCAAGATGGCGACTCGAACTTCCTTGCTCTTCTTATATCATTTATCGTTCACAAAAGCACAACTACGCTGCTGTTATATTATCTAGCTCATATTGCTCAGCCACTAATCAAAAAAAAAAAAAAATTAGTAGAGATTCATGGTTCCTTGTGTCACCTTGGAATAACAAGTATGGCCCATTTTGTACGAAGTAAAATTCTTATTCAATGTAAGTCATAAAAAGAATGGCAAAAATATGTCCTGTGTATCTGAAATAAAATCCCGATTTTATATCAAGGATGAAAGCCATGTAATAAAGGTTACGCATCCCTTTGAGAGACTTAACATTGACTTTAAAAGCCCCGTACCAATAAATAATAAAAAATCGATGTATGTTAAACGTAATCGACATTTGCATTTCTCTGCAAGGACTTGACCTTCAAACAGTTATTGACTGTGTTCTCTCCTCTCTTCTTATAACGGCATTCACCTGGGGTGGGTTGAGCCGGCTCCAATATTGGAGTTTCATGGGAATTTCGAATTCACAAGCGGTCCCTAACCCGCATGTATAGCACATGAGATTTGATTATAGTGGTGAAGGTTTCGTGCAGGACCATCCACACTTTTTGAAGGGTCGATTACAGAGACCTGGTGCACTACGTGCCACAAGGTCCCCAAACGACCCTCCGCAGCTTTTGAATTCAGAGTTTTCCTTCTCCTAGATCAGTTGCCATCCAAGGCTATAGAACCCAGTTTGTCTTGCTGTTTATCCATAGCTGGAGGGAGATGAAGAGGATTCACATCTTTTGTGTGCAAAATATTGTATATTCATTCTGACAGAGACCAGTCATTTCTTTCTAAAGAACAACATTTTTGAACACGCAAGGTGTGGATAGGAGTCGCTCAACTATTTTTAATCTGCGTGGGAATGGTCAGGTAGAACGTTAAACGGGGTAATTTGGTCTCTTTGTCTCTGCATTCCCGAGGTCTCCAGGCCTCCGTGTGGGAGACGGTACCCTCCCAAGCTCTTCATTGCATCCGGAGCATGTCGTGTACAGCTACTAATAAAACCCCACACGTGAGAGTTTCATCCCAACGGAGAATAGCATATAGGCATTCGCTCCGTTCATAGTTGTCTCAATCCGAGAGTATGACGTCATGTACAACATATCAAGTTTGAACTGCTGGTAGACGAGGTTCAGCTACTAGAGGCTAACCCTAATTATGCACACGTACGCCTACAAAATGGATGTAAAACTACAGTTTTACTAAGAGACATAACCTCCCCAACCCCGAGGTGACACGTAACAGATCAAAATTTTACTGACGGCTTCAACCCGGTGTCCGAACAAGACAAGCAGATGTACTGACGTTGACCAGATGAATAAATGGTGGAAATACCTGAAGTTCAAGAAAACCCTTTGCCTGAAAAAAAGCGAAGACATATCCCAACCTTCTTCACCAGTGGTACGCCGTCCTACGCGTATCAAACGAAGACCCCCCCCACCATACTTAAAAGATTATTTTGAATAATACAATTTAACCTCATCGTAATAACACGAAACTGTTCATAGTTGGTGGGGGAGAATGTCGTGTTGACTACTATTCTACTCCGACCGCTACCCCCGCTAACTGATGCTACTCCTAACACAACGTATAAAAGCGCTCGTTTAATCAGAGAAGAGTTCCCTCAACAACCGACCAACGTTCTATGTCGAATAAAACTAAACGCTTTCTTATTATCTCGCAACACTACTTCTCCTTTATGGTTTCTTTCACCTCTCTTTCTCCTGTATATTCTTTCTTTTTTTTTTAATTGTCTTCCTTCTTTCTTTTACCACTTCTATTTTCCTTTTTTCTTTATTTCTTACGTTGTTATTTCAAAGTTTTCTTTCTTTCTTTCACCTTACTTTGTCTTGTATTCTTTCTTTCTTTCTTTTTTTTTTTTTCTTTCTTTTACTACATCCCTTTTCCTTTTTTATTCATTTTACAGCGTTTTTTTACCTCTTTCTTTCTTTTTTCTTTCTTTCTTTCTTTATTTATTTTACTACATCCCTTTTCTTTTTTTATTCATTTTACAGCGTTTTTTACCTCTTTCTTTCTTTCTTTCTTTATTTATTTTACTACATCCCTTTTCCCTTTTTATTCATTTTACAGCGTTTTTGTACCTCTTTCTTTCTTTCTTTCTTTCTTTCTTTCTTTCTTTCTTTCAGTACACCTCTTTTCCGCTTTCTTTTTTATTCATTTTACTGCGTCTCTTTACCTCTTTCTTTCTTTCTTTCTTTCTTTCTTTCTTTCTTTCTTTTTCCTCTTTTCTTTTTTCTTTCATCTCTTTTTCGCCTTTTCTTCTTTTGATTCATTTTAACGAGTCTCTTTACTGCTTTCTTTCTTTCTTTCTTTCTTTCTTTTACTACATCTCCTTTCCTCTTTCTTCTTTTGATTCATTTTACCGCGTCTCTTTATCTATTTCTTTCTTTCTCTCTCTCTCTTTTACTACATCTTTTTTCCTCTTCCGTTTTTTTATTCATTTTATCGCGTATCTTTCTTTCTTTCTTTCTTTCTTTTGCCACGTATTTTTACCTGTTTCTTTCTTCACGCACCAACACGTTTCTGTCTTTCTGTTGTATCTTTCTGTTGTGTCTCTTCTTTGAACAACCATACTTATAAATGAAAATATAAGGACACAAAAACTTATTACGTTGGAACACCAAACAGATAAGATTAATGATTTGTCTTTCTGAACTTCATTTTCATAAGTCTGATAACAGTAATTCATTAAATAAAGACAGTGAAACATTTGTTTTTCGCACAAGTAAATAACCAATAATGAAAAAGTCATTTCCTTACAAAGAATTCTTAATGAGTAAAAAATGGTGTTCTTAATGCATTACAATATAGTTTATAAGTGAGAGCAACTGGCACAGGAATCTACTGCTTCTGTTGACGAAAACAGTAATTGTTAACGCCGCAATCATGTTTCGGGGATATATCATGTGATGTTAGCTGATTACGCTTATAACTGTGGAAATGGTGTTAACAAGAAAAACGTGAAAATGACAAAACAAAGAAATGGAATTAAGACGTGGTTGAGATAAGTAATAGTTTTTATGATTCGTTTCTTCTATCGTTTGCTCGTTCCGTTCTATATCAGTTGTGGGAGACTGAGAGTTCCTTCAGGTGGTGATACAAGGTAGTAGTCGAGATAGAATCATGAGAGAAAATCAACCCGCATATGTCGTCGAGTGAGATAGACATATGGGACAATTATTCTGCGAATTATTGCATTGTAGTAGTCGATAATTAGTCTCTGCAACTGTCGATGGTTTCATTGCTGGCCGAAGGCATTTCTGTTGATGGAAGCGCAATGGTTTCCCTGCCGTTGGGTTTGTCGCTAATGTCATCCTGATAGGATCTGCCTTCGCGTTAGTTTTATAGTGAGACAGTGACTCAGAAACATCTGCTGTGAAAATAGCTCGAGCTTTTTCTGATTGGTCAAAACCACTTACCTTCATCTCACTATTGTGATTCATGGTGAAATTCAAGAATATTGCAATGGCTTGCCAGTTCCTTTTGAAGCGGGGATGTTATGGTTATACCGTCCCTCCTCTCAGAGGTTAAAGATGCAAAAACTACAAGGTAGCAGGTAGATTGAATTCGGACTTTTACCTTCTCCTAGACTGGTTGGCAGCCTGTTTGTCATGCTATTTACCCATCGACGGGGGAGAAAATACTCATATCTTTCCTAAGAGTATTAGTGAGTATTATTGTTATACCTGACGTACCTATTCTATTATTAATAGACTCTCCCACACAGAATAAGTAGTAGTAGTAGTAGTAACGGTCGCCAGTTGGGGCTCAGTGGTGTTGAGCGGGTCAGTCGATGTCGGACATTGAAGTATCAATCATCACAACTAGATTGCTGCGTCATTAACTCTTATTTCAAGTTCCTAACGTTTTGTACGTCGAACCTAATTTAGGACGACTTATTGAAATACAAGCCTCCACTGTGAAAACTACTCTACAACAATAATTTAATGAACTCGACTGGACTTCGAACTCGGCTGTCCGATTCCTTAATCCAAAGCCGCTATACATTGGTGATGCCTCCATCTACTCACTCCGGAAGTTGGCACATGAACCCGGAGTAAATTATTGTCTGTTTTTTTTTTGTGTTTTTTTAATTTTATTTTTATATGAGCTGTGGCAATTTCCGTTTGAGTTAAAGGGTTGGAGTTTCGACAGGGTACGACAACATATTACGACTATACATTTTGCACCGGCTGAGCTTATGCATGCTTCGAGTAATCATTCAGTGTCCATGATATGTCTAATGGACATCACTTGCTGGCTCTAAAAGATTATTAAAAAAAAACAAAAAACAAAAAATAAACTTAGGAACCAGCAATGTATCGTGCATGGATCATACGCCATTTTGAATGAAGCATTTTTTTAAAATTGCTTTCGAAAACTCGGTTTTGGTTGTTAAGTAAAAATTATCTAATTTCTTTGAATCTTTCCACAGTACTGCCGAAAATAAAACATACCGATAATTTCTACTAGCTTGATGATGAGAAACTAATTTACACCGTTGGAATATTCGCGAAAATCAGAGAATAGGCAAAGGAGTTGAATTTCAGGTAGATTCGCATATTTTGCCGCCGGAAACATTTTTCTTGTGGAAAGAAAGTGACGATTAATTATCCAAAAATTGAGTTAACTTTCATTATTATTATTATTATTATTATTGTAATTATCCGATACATTGAGAATTCTTGTTGCTAATTGGCTTTCAACTTGATAATAATTAATCGATTTATTATTAATTTGGTTTTCTTTTCCAAAGATCAAAGAATCAGTTGTATGATGGAATCCGCCTTCTCCAAAAACTCAGTGCAAAAGCATTCATATTTAACCGGATCAAGACAAGTGACAACGTTCAGATCACGGGCGAAAGGTTTCTGTCGTTATGGAAGTTATTCCATCAATTAGTAGCCATTTAACACATGAGCCACAATTAAAATATAGGAAGGCTACCCAGCTAAATAGCATTTTCACCATCTCTCTCCCCCACACTCTCTTTCTCTCTCTCTCTCTCTCTCTCTCTCTCTCACGCAAACATATACACACACTCTTTCTTTCTTTCTCTCTCATTCCTGGAATTGGAAAATTGATGGTAAATATACCAGACAGAAATATTGATGGTGGGATACGAGTTGAAACGCTTTCTGGAATTTCAAGAAAGGAAATATAATCTATGTTAAAATATTTCTTCCAATATGTGATTAGATTTGATTTCGGTTGCTTTATTTTGTTTAACGGCATATCAACCTCAATGGGTTATTTAATGCCAGCAAGATTTTTAGGATACGTCCGTATGAATAGAATATATATTCTTTGGTTTAGATTGGTTTGGTTTATTTTGTTTTACGGGATATCAACCTCAATGGGTTATTTAATGCCGAACAGATTTTTATTATAGGTTCGTATGAATAGAATATGTATTAATTGTAAGAAATCAGTTTGTAGATCAGGATTCACTGACGTATATTTGTAAAGAGAATTTTTTGTAAAAACTAGTAATATCTTTTTCGAAAAGTATTTTATTTTTCATAACAATTTATGGAATTTTTCAAAAATAACGATAATATTTAATTTTCGAATGATTAATCTCTTCAAAGATGAAGAAAGAGTAAAAATACACAGAAGGATGATATATGGTGAAGATCTTGATTTTACTTAACATCCTGAAATTTCTGGGGCAGTTTGAGAAAAGGGCTTGGAAATGATACTCACGGGTCGAATAGAGGAAAAGAGACAAAGGAAAAGAAATAGCTAGCCTAACAAAACATTGGGGGAGAAAAAATGAGAGCAAGAGATAGGGGGTAGTGGAGAGCCATGATTGCCTACGTCCTGAAAAAACCCATAAAAAAGAAAAGAATGATTTTATGTCGAAATTTCAAATATTTAAACTGTCAAGTTAACTCTTCAAGGATTAAAATAGTCAATGAATTTTGCCAAATGTTCTTCATCGGAATAAACCATAACACTAACATCCGTCTTGAAAAGGTTGAACGGTCGAAGAGAAAATAATGATATAGTGAAGATCTTGACTTTCTATCCTACTTTAAACAAATGCTTAGAAAAGAAATCCCTAACAGCATTAGAAATAGCTAGTGGACTTCCTGAAAAAAACCCAAAGAATGATTTTATAAATTTCAACCGACAAGTTAACTCTTCGGTCAATGAATGCCAAATGGCTGCTTAAACCATAACACTAACACGTCTAGGTTTACGGTCACATCACATTAAAACTTCGCTTCTCGCGCGAACTCTGAAGTTAAGCAACGGCGAGTCTAGGTAAGTACCAAGATAGGTTACTGCTTGGGAATAACACGTGCTGAAGGCTTGGGTGTGCAGGTGGTCTAATGGATAATCGTTCGCAATTGTTTATCGGAGTGCCGAGTTCTAATCCCATTTGGCTTCTTTATATTCATTTACGCACCAACACCCTTAGGAGAGGTATGAATGCAATTCTTCTCTCCATAGTTACGGATTAGTTGGTAAGACTTGTATCACTAAATCATTATTATCTAAAAATAAAAAAAAATCCTACAATCTAAAAATATTTTCTGGCTTTAAATAACCTGCAAAGAGGTGATAAGCCGTAGAAAACGAGTTCAATCAATGTGAATATTTAAAAAGTTTCACTGCGTAGACATTGTCATTAAACAGTGGCACTCTATAAAATTAATTCATTCTTCTTCTTTTTCTTCTTGTGTTTCTTGAAGACGAGGGCGAGATTGGCTCTACACAAATTCCTATTTTTTTTGTATTTCTTAACATGTAAGGTTTTTTTTTTACTATGCCTTTCACTCCCCGTTGTGACATCCATTTACACAAGTTCTTTAGATAGGCTGCTCGTGATATTCCTCCGTCCATTTTGCATTCGAAACCTCTTGAGTTGAATTCTCCTAGATCTTTTCCTTATTATATACCGCGCATTTATGTTACACACAAATACCCTTGTGAAAGATATGAATCCACCGCTTTTCTTCACAGCTATGGAGCTAATTACTAAGACTTGTATCACTAAATCATTATTATTAAAAAATCATTAACAATCTAAATAAAAAATTTTTTCTGGCTTTTGACCTTTTGACCTTGATGCAAGAGGGTGATAGTTGGCGTCATAGGCTCATTATTTTCCGAGCTATCTCGACTGAATAAAAATAGTTTGATAAGTCGCAGCAAATGAATAAATCAATAACACCCATAGGTTCAAAAAGAAAGAACTATTTTTAGTGTCCACTGTAGAACAATGTAACCGGCCTGGAAAACCGTTGTGATTTCATGTGTATTTCGCCTTGAGCCAAACTTCATTTTGTTCAGGTTTGGACTCGGTTCGAGACAGACTCTGTTCATTGATTATCCAACAATTTTAATCAGCTAGGGGATTGTCGTTTATGATTTTCAGTTTGCCCGAATGCTTGTGGTAGTTTGATAAGCTACGTCTTGACCCGTGTTGTCCGCTGATTCAGGCCAGTCGTACATGAAATCTAACAAGCCTTAGCAATTAGAATACGAATTGTTCAAAAGGTAATCGGTCTAGGATAGGCAAATGCCCTTGATCCCCATGTTCCCACCCATTTCCTGAGTTATTTGTACTCGTTCTGCTTTATTTTCTCTTTCTCTATCTTTCCGTTTTTTTCTTTCGCGATTTGTCTTCATATGTGCCGTTACATAACTCAACCTGAAGACATGAAGACATTGATTTTTCTCAACGGGACACAGAAGTAAAAATTGCTCCAAGCAAATCTCTATCTGCAATTCCACATTCCATTTCTGTTCGTTTTTAGTTTTAAATAATAGAATCAGATTATGAATCGACATAGATGCAACAAGAATGAATATTAGGATTAGTTCTCGCAACATGCTGTTGAGTAAAAATAGATGACTGAAAAAAATCGATTTTATTAAGATCTTAATGATTTTCAAATAACGTCTATACTTAGTTTGTCTTTGTTTTCTATTAAAAACAATGAACATCATATTAAATGTCAGAATTAGTTTAACTATTTGTCTATAATGCACGTATTTTTTCCAAAGTTTATAAGCAGTAAATTCGACCTTGTCTACCGAACGCTCCTTTGTGGTAGGTCGGTAAGGCACGTCAGTATAAATGACGGTTCCGTATAGGATGCAGGTTCGAATCCTGTCAAAGGACGAATATTTTCTATGAAAATTTCTCGGACATTCAGGCCGGTAGATGTTATTTAATACTGTTTATTATTCAGGCCGTTAAATGTTATTTAATACTGTTTATTATAAACAGAGCATTTACTTAAATACTTGTATCTATAAAAAAGAACGTTAAACATAAAAATGTCTTTAATAAATAAATTGTCGGACTTTGTCCATTTCTTAATATATATATATATAATTTTATATATCAGCAACAGTATTTAGAAAAATATGACAAACTGGAATGTTTTTTTTGTGACGTGTTTCATCTGTTTGGATTTCAGAGAACTAGGCTTTGATGACGTTGCCACGTCTAATCATGCGACACGAAACAAGAGACGCAGGTAGGTTTAAAAAATTCTTTCAAAAATATTCTTTCAAAAAAACTTTGAAACTACCTGCGTCCAACTTCAGCAACACGTATTTGGCCAGCCTAGAAAATAATTTCTTTAACACCACCAAGAAACCCTCCATCTACCTATGTAGATGATATCCTTATTTTAGTCAAAAACATAGAAGAAATAACGGAACTCCAAAAAGTCTTTCAAAAAAGTCTGTCCTCAAGTTCACATACGAAATTAACAAAGATAACAAAATCCCTTTCCTTGACATTTTAATAGACACAAATAATAACACATTTACTACCTCTCCGTATAAAAAAAAAACAAAGAGCAAAAACTCTTGCACTCTCAACTAGAAGAGTGAATGTCCTAATTACTACAAAATAGCACTTATAAAGAATTTGATTAACCGAGCACAAATTAATTTTTCCGCAAGAGAGATTTTCTACATTGAACTAAAAATATTAATCAAACTCTCATTAATAATGATTTCCCAAACCACATTGTAGATGAACAAATAAGACGATTCATCAAAAACTTCAACACACGTCAAATAGAACATGGCGTACCTCAAAGGACCGAAAATATATCAAAGTCTTATCGTGTAAGCAGATGCATGCTAACTACAAACAGAGTGATAAAATCATTAAAAAAAAAAAAATATCCCATGGATCCTAATAAAAAATAAAATTAATCATCTTTTATAAAAAATTAAATATATCAAATTTAATCCTTCGCAATGACTCCTCCCATCCTCAGCTGATGTATTACGTAAAACCAACATTATATGTCAATTCAAATGTCCTTTGGGTATCTGCGTCAGAAAAATATATATATATATATATATATATATATATATATATATATATATATATATATATATATATATATATCTACGACAAGACGTCTTACTCTACACGTCTGACCATTCGTCCATTGCGAGACATTTACACCAACATTCCTGTCCACATTTACACTATAGTAAAACACTTGTGCATAACACGACTGCACCAAGAAAATAACAAATTACAACTACAGATCTTCAAAACAATCTACATTAAAAAATTGAAATCGAAAGCGAATAGAATCAGCTACGAATACTATAATAATCTTCTAAAATGCGTATAAAAAGAACAGTTTTCACGCTTTAATGAACGCTTGACAATGATATTTCAACATAAAAGAAAAAGAAATCCATAATGGATAATTTTTACACGTTCTAATGAACGTTAAAGGATAACTATCAGCCGTTGCATTTAAGCGCAAAAAGAATAAACATTTAGTAATGGATAGCTACATATAGTTTTTGCCTTACCAGTTGCACGCCTGATGATGATCTCAGAAAGAGATGGAAAATACTTGGGAAATGAAAGTGAATTTCATTGTTACAGTGCATTTCTTGCATTATTTAACTGTAATACATGGAAACATGTCCGTGAATATGAACGGATTATGCTAAAAATAAGCAGACGTAATGTTTGTAATTTATTTAATCAGACATGCCTAAAAGAGAATTTGCTGCCTAAACACTCTCTCTCTCTCTCTCTCTCTCTATATATATATATATATATATACGAGCATCAAATATATGTATTTATTATTGTTTATATCAGGAGGATTTCTTGTGTTCCTATTTCTTTTGAGGTTTGTTTTTATTTGCTCATCGACGAAAAGAATATATTTAATAACATCGGCTAAGAACCTTGCCAACAATAAAAGAAACTTGTTATAAATTCATACATGGATTAATAATACAGTAATAGAGAATAGCATAGTCCAGTGCGGCAATGCGTACGACTCAAACGATATGCCTTGCGACCCACTTTACGACGATCGTTTCTATTTGCAGGCGTTCTACTCAGAGTGAATAAGCGAGTCCATTTTCAAGAATTAGTGTAGAAAAGGTGTTTAAATTACTATCGAATAGTTTGTACTACCCTATTTATCATAACTTGGTTGTGTCTCTGTCTTTAGTAAAAGTGCGCTCAGGGGGAGCTCCGTCAAAGGACAGAGTCGCAACTGAGGAAAATTATACTGAGAAGTGCCCGACCCTGGGTTAAAGCTGCCTGATGTCGCGCCTTCTCATTGAACCAGAGAGAGGTATCGGTACATGCACCGAGGCAAGTGCAACCGGCGGTTGCGAGGGCTTGGGCAATTATTGTTCCTAGCCCGGGTGTACGCGCTCGGACACCCCACATTAAACCGAACTTTTGTCACAACCTGATCTTGTCGGGGTGGAGGTGAGTAAATACAAAAAAATTAGTGTAGAGAACGTCGCTTGTCTTTCTACACAGCGACACTCAAAAAGCATCTTGTCAAACATTTTTAACGCAAAATGTATCAAATAGTTATTGCTACCAAAATACACATCTATCTATCTATCTATCTATCTATCTATCTATCTATCTATCTATATATCCATCTAAATCTGTATATCCATCTAAATCTGTTTCTATCTATCTATCTATCTATCTATCTATCTATCTATCTATCTATCCCAATCTGTATCTGTATATATCGATCTAAATCTGTTTCTTTCTTTCTTTCTTTCTTTCTTTCTATCTATGTGTATGTGGGTACGTGAAGAGTGCGTAGGGTATTTGGGGTCTGTTGATTATACGATGAAAGATGAGGTAGACAGTTCGTCATATTTCGTATGTTTTATACGTTCATTTTTTTCTGCTCAAAGGCGGTTAATGCAATGTTTTAAAGTCTTCTTACCTCGGCACATTTATCGATACGCGTGGCAGCATCTGTCTTTGCTTTCATTTTCTTCTATCTAGATTTTATACTTTCTATTTTTGAAACTTAGAAAAAGTTC